CCACCCAAGGTCAGGGGTGCTGGGGAGCCGGAGACTGAGAGCCTAACCCCTGACTGTGCGTCTTCTCCCGTGTTTTCGTCCTGCTTAGGATGCGCAGCCACCGTGCTCTGGGAGAATCATAGGCATGGCCTCGTCGAACCTGCTAGACATACATTAAAGGAGAACTGCCTCTTCCCCCCGCTCCCCTTTTTTTTTTCTTTATCACAGTTTGAAACCAGTGGGTAAAGTGGCAGGGTATAACTGTTTGTATTCAAGCTGGGAAATATGTTCGTAGCACAGTCTGCTATGTCTTTCTTGAATCCAAGTCTGGCTCGGAAAAAGAGACTGGTTTAAAAATACATCCAGGCATTCCATAAATAGCTTCCAAATAATCTTAAAGGCTCGATGTTTTCACAACTATTATTTTACCCCCAACATGCAGCACACGGCTGTGGAGATGGTCTGCTCTCTCCGATAAAAGCGCCGTTGTGAATATCAGTGAGGGGACTGTTGGTTGTCTTTTAAGAGTCTGGAGTCATAGACCTACTTTTATAAATAATTCATAAATCCCAACAAGCTACAAGTAATAAGTTCCATTTGGCTAGAGACTAAGAGATGAGCAAAATTGAAAAGGTGCCTCAACTGTTTGTGTAATGGGAGTGATGCCGCCAGGGCCCCTGGCTGCGGTGTGTGTTCTTCCTTCACAAACGGGGGGTTCGGTGGGATGCTCTGGGAGGAGAATGTGTTTTCTCATCTGTGAACTAGAATGCAAGGGCTACCCAGCGCCGCACTGCGTTTCTCCTCTTCTCTCGAAATGCCTGAGTTCGAAAAGTCTTTCTGGAGCATGTGAGCGTTCACGGTTGTTGTCTTCAGGATAAAAAAATGACCCGTCAGACCGCCCGTGTCAGGTGCGCCTCCTCTTTAAATCAGTCATTGTATTTGATGGATGGCATCTGCCTGTCAGTAACAGTGATATGCAGAGCGAAAGTTATAATCATCTGCAAATCACTGGCTATTGGGACTTAATAGCATCTTCCAGAGACGGAACTGCTGGCTACCCGTTGCCTCGTGTGAGGGTAGGTGGCAGTTCCCTTATAAGATGTTACTAGGATTTCAAACAGAGAGAACTGAACTGGCTTTTGTGAATTATTTACATGGCACTGACCTTATAGGACCGTTTCGTATGGAGAGACATTCTCTGAAATGATGGCAAAGACCTTGTCAGCTGGTGACCCCTTCTTACCTTTACTTCTGGCCATTCTGCCTGTGAAATTAATACTCAGTAAAATGTGACAGTAAAAATGTATCAGTGATGGTCGCATTGGACCAAGGCAAAAGATTCTGTCTTACAGACAGAATCTAAAATATGACTCCACCGCATCTTCTGTTCCAGGATGGTGCCATTCACTTGTAACCTGTGGGCCATGAATTGAGCTAGAAACAAACAATCAACCAGAAAACAATGTGGCTTCAGATGAATAGAAGCCACAAGGTCATCTCTGAAGCCCATCCACTCAGGACAACTCTGAGTGGCTCTGGCCTCCTGACCACGCCTCAGGCATCCAGGCCCTGCTTTCTTTGGCTTGTCCAAGGAGTCATGAGCAGTTGAGGGGAGATGCTGCTTTGCAAATGTGTGCTTCTGGCAGGAGGGAGCGAGGCATCTTTGCCCAGAGGAGTCCTTGCATGTGTGGGTTGCCGTGTACCACGGCAGGCAGAACAGGAAGCTGGCTTGCAAGGTGATGATGTCAGATATTCTCAGAGTAAACCAAAGTTATTTCCTCTGGATTACATTCCCTCTTATTTCACTACAGATCAATCTTGTTGTAATAGTGACTGCTGGGCCTTTCTCTGCTGCATCTGTGGTGTGTTCACGAGGGAACGTGTTTCTGCCTTGCTCCTGTGCCATTTTATAGCCTTTTTTTTTTTAATCACCAGTAAATGCCACTTTCTGTGATGGTTGGACCACAGGACCTGAGGACTGTCAAAGACCAGTGGGCCCACAGCTGGGGCCTTCCATATGTATGAGTTCCAGGGCTACCGGGTCACGTTTTTAAGGAGCCTTAATTGACTCGCCTTCCCCGTCGTCCCCTGAGCTCCAGAGCCATCGGCTGGCTCTCAGAAACTCCCAAGTGCCATAGAATTGCTCTTCACAATACCAGAAGCAATTGAACACGCTCTAGGTGCACACGTGTCTAGAATCTCGAGCGTTAGAGCACTTTTATGCCAGTCCTTTACTAATGGAGTCGGGACCCCACACAGACACACACGCCTCATTTGAAGTTACTGAAGCACCTTGCGGATGCTCATCCATTGGTTCAACCTCAATTCTGATATCGAACAGAAACCGGGCGAGCGGCCTAGAAATCGAGCGAGACCACTCAGCAGGGTATTTGAAAGAGTAAGTGGGCTCAGTATAAAGATTTCACTGTTGAGTTAATTCTCTGCTCTGTGCTGTGCACTGAAGTCCCCCCGTGGACTCCGAGCCCCAGAGACACAGCCTTTCCTCCTCCTCTCTT